GAGTGGGGTCGGGCCGGATCAGGTTGACTACCGCATAGTACAAATGCCTCGTCCCACCTAAATGACCGGAACCATGCCAAAACGCATCTATGTGTTGAATCATGACAATTTCCGCAGCCCAGAATTAAAACAAAACAAAAACTTTCACGCGAAATCCCGCATTACAAGAGAAAAACTAAACCAATCTCCCTTCCATCGTTCCGCCTCAGCCACCACGCGCCTGAGCCTCGATTCCTATCCCTCTTTCCATGCCAAATCACCTAGGCCTTTGATCTATCACCTCCGAGTCACAGGTATCCCTGCCATCCCTCGACTAGCCTCCGTGTATATTCCGCTCTCCTGGACGTAGTCCCTGAACAGCTGCCATCCCCTTGATCCCAGCATTGTTTCCAAAGCTGGTGCGCTTCGCTTCGCTTTCCGCTTTTCAGCCGCCATGTTGCCAGTGCTTTTCGACACTGGACAAGGTGACCAATTGGTTTTTCCCTCCCGCACTCGCAGTAGAGTTTGGCGTCAGTGTGGTTAAAGCGGCGATGATATGCCGCATAGTCCCCATGTCCAGTTCGAGCAGCGATTAAGCGGGCGTAGACCGGTCTAGGTAGCGCTAGTTCTGGCGGTTTCTTGCGCCGCATCTCGAGTTCAAGGTCGGCGTAATGTTTGGAGCGATTCGAGTGCCACCAGTCTGTCAAAATCTGCCTGGCCAGTTCACGGGATTTCCGTCCAGATGAGGCGAGTGTCATCACACCATATGTCGTCCTAGAGTTGTCCGGCGAGTTAAGCTCTCTTCGAGCAAGTTCATCGACGATTTCATTTCCTGCCAACCCTTCGTGGCCCGGAATCCATCCTATTTTTACAGGCGCGGCTGCTTTTGCGACTATTTTGCAGAACTTTTGGATCCGCCAGGATGATGAGCCTGTTGTTCCCGTCAGTAAAGCCTGAACAGCCGCAGAATTTTCGAGCAGGATGTAGATGGCGCTGCGTCCTCGATCTCAATTGCTGGCAGTGATTGCTTCTAGAGCGGCCAAAGCTCCATGAACCTCCGCGTCGTAGACCTCCGCGTTGTTAATTTTACCTGAGCCGCTTTGCTCGATTGCCGGGCCTGTGCCGCTGATAAAAGTCACAAAGGCCCTTGACACTCTGTCGATTGAAGCCCCAGAACCATCACTGTAAATGTAGAGACAGTCGGGTGGGAGTGTAGGCAGCCACTCTCTTATAACTTGGCAGCCTCTTTCTTACTTGTCCAACGGGGAATTAGCTGGGGGGGTACCGGAGGTCGGAGCGGCGGCGGAAGTTCAGCCTCTGGCAGAAGTCGGTACATCCTCTGGACCCTCGAATCATGAACTCTATCCAGACCAAGTCTGCTTTTGTTGCATATCTTTAGGCCGAGTCGGTGGCGAGCGCTGTCGGTGCTTTCCGTGGCCCGGAGTCGAAGCGGATGGTACTCATCTAGTCTTCGGATTTGTGCTGCAGTCTTGAGCCTGCGTTTCTCGAGCAGAATGTGTGCTGGTGGAATGCCAGTCTCCCTTCTTAGAGCTGCGATGGACATGGTGCGCTAGGTTGGTAGAGCCACGCGAATTCCTAAGGCAGAAGTTTGGTCAATAACTTTGCACTGTCTCTTACATGAATTTCGCGCGACACCCCAATATGTTTCCCTGGTTGGCTCCGGGTACCAGGATTCTGCTGCGTGCATCGCGATTGGCAGGACTACCGTTCGGATCACTGTGGTTAGTAGGTCGGGTCTTGGTCCCTGAGTGCACTGAGGGAGTCGCCGGAAGTGTTGCACTAGCTGCATTGCTTTGCTGGTCCACTTTGCGACGTGGCTTTCGAAGGTCAGGCCACGGTCCAAGTAAACTCTGAGCCATCGGATGTTGTCGGATGCCTGAACATCGCGAGGACCTACCCTTATCGTTAGAAGGTCGTATCTCCTGGATCTAGGGCCGAGGAAATAGACTGCTTCGGCCTTATCTGGGTCGAAAGAGACGGCATTTTCAGCAGCCCACCCTAGGTCTGCATCAACTTCTGTCTGGACAGCTGCTGCGTCTTCGTTTGGAGTCGAACCTATGCCGAGGATAGCAACATCATCTGCATAGCCAAATCTCCAACTGCTGCCCCCCCACGACTTCGGCCATGTAGAGGAGGAAGAGAATTGGGGATAAAGGCGATCCTTGTGGCAGCCCGCATTCTAGGTGAATTGGGTCTGTTACTCCGTCCTCGTGTCTGACGCGAGCAGATCGTTCTTTCAGGAAAGACTTTATCCAAGTAATGGCTGATTTTGGTCACCCAACTTTGTTCATCCTCTGCAGCAGCCTTCCGTGTAGTACAGCGTCGAATGCCCCCTGTACGTCCAGAGTGACAAGGACTGCTTTCTTCTGCCTCTTCATTGCATGCTCCACATCGTGGATGACGCATGAGACGAGGTCGTTAGCGGATCTGCCGGAGAGTGCTCCAAAAAGCTGCTGCGGCACGGCCTTCTACGAAATGGCGGTGTAAGCCATTCGCCTTGCAACTAGTCTCTCAAGACCTTTGCCGAGAGAGGATAGCAGTGCGATGGGCCTCCATCCTTTAGCTGTACTGAGATTACGGCCAGGTTTGGGGAGAAGAATTACTTCCGCTAGCTTGAATGCCTTCGGGAAGTGGTTCAGTCGAAGTGAGCCCTCAAAGAGTACTCTCACTGCGTGAACAATTGACGGCCAGGCTGTCCTAAGAAGCCGCACACATATCGCGTCTGCTCCGGGAGCTTTATTTTGGCAGGCTGTTGTGACCCACCTGGCTTCTTCGTCCGTGACGCTTGAGACCCATGGAAGGTTTCCGAGTCCTGGCTCGAGATTCTCAGCTTCGACGTCGTTTTGGCTGGTGAACCGGCCGAGGAGGAGGTCGCGCAACAGAATTGCACGCTTTCCTGGGTCCAAAACAAAATCGTCGGAAGTTTGAAATGGTGGAGCAGCGGATGTAAGTCGCGGTTTTGCCCAGCGTGCCATCCGATACATGTCAACGTCAGTTGTGGCTTCGGAGAACTTCCGTCGCCAGTATTGGCGTTTCGCACTTCTGACTATGCGACGGAAATCCTTTCTGCTCTTCTCGTCCCTGAATATCCTATATTCGCGTTTGGCCTGTGAGCACTCCAACGTCCACCAAGGTGCCGTCCTACCCTTCTTAGCACTCCCGCGTCTTCCAGTAGCCCTGATTGCATCGCTAATGGTTTGAACCAGCTTATCTGCAAGGTTGTCTACCGCGGGGGGGGGGGGGCGGACAGCTGTTTTTTGTTTTGTTTTGTTCATTTACGTGCTAGGTATAGTGATTCCCGTTGTACTCCTACTGGAGCTTAAGCACGGGTGGGGCCGGGCCGGATCAGGTTAACTACCGTAAAGAACAAGTGCCTCGTCCCACCTAAATGACCGGACCACCTCAGACTTCACCCATGTGTTGAATCATGTCAAGCCCAACCGTCCAGAGAACCCCCGTTTGGCGCGCCGAAGCGCAATTTCCTCCTCAGCCTCGGCCAACCCGCGCCCAAGCCCTTGACATCCTCATTGACTCCGAAATATAAATGCCGTGCAATATTTCATCGTTGATCTAGCCTTGCACCCTCATATCGTACCGTCGGGTTGTTATCGTCATTGGGGATTTGTGTAATCCCCTCGGTGTATCTTCCCTTTTATTCCTCCTTTGCACACGTCCTATTTCCATCATGACTTTTCTCAATAGGGCGTGTGTAATTAGGTGACGTGACGAGTATTGAGGTGGGTCGTAGGTGTAAGACCGGCTGAGATATGGATCGTCGCAAATATATAAGGAGTTTGAAAGATGTCGGATGTTTGAATACAACTTCCAGACAGAGCTAGGCCCATTTTTGAATCTTATGTTGGTGGTGATGAATTTTTGCTCAACTTTGTTCCGGCTCTGAAATCTCTGCCGACTGATTTTTCGACCAAAATATCGAGAGCAACTCCTTCAAGTCGAAAATCCATCAAATAAATTTCATCCCACCCTTTTTCGTGACTGAATCTCGGCTTTGGGAGAATATTTCACTCCCAGGTTCGTTGAGGACACCACTGACAGGTGTTCAGCCTTTGTCCTCCGGGCGGACAGCTGGTCAGACTCTTCTGTAATTTCTAGGTGTTGTAATACGCGCTGGAGCGTCGGGTAGTTCTGTAGGGACTAGGCCGTCCAGCATGTGACAGTAGTCACGAGCTGTGGACAGGCACGACGTTAAATTCAATCAAATCAAATCAATGACAGAACAGAGTCAGGATTGGAATTCGCACACTAAATGGCTTGAGCCTGACTGCGATTCGTACAAAGGTTCTATTAACTTAAAGTCGATAATATCTGCTATCATAATCTATCAGTCTTTCAACCAAGCGCAGAATATCACTGCTCCTACATAGCCTCAAACCGTCCACAACCCTCAAATCCATCCTCTTTCGTCACTGGATCTCAATTCTAGAAGAAACACTCAAGTTACAGACTCGTAGTGGACATCATGGACATGTAGTCGGCCATCATCATTGATAAATTTCAAAGTATACTGTCAACTTATCTAATTGATGGCGAGTCATCATCCCTCGCGTGTAGCCATTTCATATGACATCAAATTTAGATGTAGGCACTCAGATCCTTTGGCAATCTAACGGTTATAATCAAAATCACAGCCAATCTATAATTCAAGGGTGAAATGTATCGACCTCGGAGATGAACGGAAATTTGGATTTGCGTAGTATAAGCTTCCTCAATATAGCCACTATTCTATAATATTTTCTCATGAATATTTCTCTACAAGCTGACAACTAACCCAGCAACAGTAAAGTCTAAGAATCCATTCACCAAAACCTGCTTAAAAACTCCAATAGCACTTCACTTATTGACAATCACATTCCCATCACCATACGAAAAAATCTCGAGATTCGGATTTTTACCAAGAATCAAATTATATTAGTCAAAATTGAACTCCGCTTGCAAGTTCACCAGCACTTGACCTTCAGCATTGAGGAAGCTTAACAAAAATGAGTTGTGTTTTTGCCATACTTTTCAGCCCAGCACTGCGTATGGCCGTCATGAGCTCGGAAGGTCACTCGATTTATTATCGTACACATTATACTCCTGAGGGAAATTTTTTCCCTGAGCCTCCGCCCCATCTCGGAATACACATGTCTCCAAGTAAAATGAGCATATATGGCACTCACGTTGTGGCTTATTGCTCCGTAGTCAACAGTTTAGAGGAAATCTTAAATATCATCGGGCACGGGTTAACAGAAGTAAAGCACTCCCCCGAAAATATAGTTAAAAAAATATGGCGAAGCCGAGATTGAATGTTACAATGCTATCAGTAGAGAAGGATGATTAACCTCAAGTGCAGTATCCATGTTGAGGCTTCTGGAAGATGATTGCACACATCAGCATTTATTCAGTTTGGCTTTCAAGGGCATCATCGGCGTAGAAGGAAGATATGCAAGCTTCGCGCCGGGTAGAAGAGATCAAGTTGTAAGAATCAATGCCGACTGTCCCATATCTATGAGCCAGTTTCTCTCCGGGGGCACCCTGCTGAAAGGAGATAACGAAGACCCAAAAGAAGTTATGGCCTGGTTTCAAGGGAATCTACATTTATTTCAAAAAACTAGAACCCATCCTAATCGCGGTAGCAATTGGCAACTAACTACCTCGATCGACAACGAGCATGCGAATGGGAAGAGGATAGTAAAATTTATCCGACAAAACCTACAAAATATTGATAATTTTGTAAGAATAATGGAGGACTTCAAAGCTCTCAAGTGGAAATTAGATTCGATTTTAGAAACAAAAGGGTTCGTTTCACAACCAGAACCTCGGTTGGGAGAACCCATCCGCAGTTTTTGGCACGAATACAAACCTCATAATTTCCGTGGCACTGGTGATTATTTTGATAATATTGAAAGGTTTATAACCTTTAATAATGTTCCTTCGTACCTCGAGTCGTTTATTGGACAGTGGAATGTCGCCGCGAGAGGCAAACATAGAAGTAATTCCGCACCTGATCGAAGGGATGTGTTGGAGGCTAGAGAATTTATATTTGAAAATTATAAATTTGCATCATCGCTTTGGGCTCAGTCTTATCTTGACGTGAATGCAGAGAGATTCGTGGAATTTTGAAGCAAAGGATATCTTATCTATTGAAATACGGAGTAGATGTATCATCAAAGAAAGAGGTCGCAATCTTTCGTCATCTGGAATAACTACTATAGACCGACATATAAAATGATGACAGTGATAACTTAAATTACTCTGGATTGAAACACATTTGATTTGATTGCATATGATGTCATGCCTGAGCGCAAGTGGTGACTAAGGGGTTTTTTTAGTATTTAACGTCTATCTAATGATTATAATACAATAGTCCCGAATTGGAAAAGGACGCCATAGCTCACTGCTCTAGAACCGGGGGCACCCAGCTTCCCCGAACAAAGAAGGGGCCCAAGATGAAATACAGTGTCAGATGACTTAATACGTCACCTTGTGTACGGAAATTTATATCTCCTAGAGGGGATGAGAGCCAGTCATAGTGGGAAGAATATCTTTCCCATATGGTAAATTAAATTAGAGGAAAGGAAAGAAAATTAGCCCATGAGCATTCTTTTATTTTATTTTTCTATGAACTGCTGATGGCAACTAAGGTTTAAACTTGTTAAGTAACCCCAGAGAGTGCTACATGTATATGTCATGTTAATCGTCAAAATGCAAGAGATGGAGATATGTTTATTGTACCACTTGAGTCATAGACTATCTAGCACACTGAGCTCCTCTCTGACCCAGGCCACAATCTGTACAATGCTCCCATACTATTTTTTGATTTGAAAGATCATCGATATATTGACTGTGATGGATAGCCATCAGCTCAGTACTTACCCGTGGAATTTGTTGTGATCTAACGCTGTTCAATCTGCGGACTTTGTGGTGAGCAGTTATTACATCTCACGTGATGGAACACGGGAGTGAAGTAAAAGAGGGGACAGCCCACTAGCCAAATCAAAGCGATTACGGGCACAGGATGAACTGTAGCACATTCTCTGTAGATAGACATAACAAGCAATTATCATCAAATAATTGAATCAACCTCCACACAATTGAGACCCATAGAAGTGCCAAACTTTCATACAACCCTCAATTGTATTGTCGCAATCGCATCTGTAACGAGCCACCACTGCATTCCAGAATACACACTCTAACTGTGATAAGCTACACCGCCAGGTCTAGCAAACAAATTACAATAGAATTCAGCCACCTTATCCACGGAATCTTCTAGCCGAAAAAAAATGGCAGAAAATAGAAACTAATGCGTGCGCGGCATCAATATGTAAGAGCCTGTTAGGATATTGAGGAAGTAGGGTCACAGGGGTCATGGCATACTGTTGTGGTTATGAGCTATGCGGAAGTCACGTTGCGGAGTGATGAGGAGTGGATGATGTTATAATTAGTTGTCGACAGTGAATAGACTCATAGAATACTATGCTGTGGGTATATGGACAGAAAGTATACAATCTATATCCATTTATTGTGGGTACATCTATAAAACTATATACATGCTCGCCCAACCAGTACACTAGTGATATATGCTGTGGCCTTGAGCCACTCGCGATGCCCTAGCCTCAACTACCTCGTTGTCTCATATCATAACTCATACGGTATAGAGAGAATACATGATATCCGCAAAGTACTGAGGGTGTGAGAAGATTTCACTCAAGCAACAAACTGACCAAGCAGAATTTCATAGCAAAATAATTTAAATCGTTCAACGTGTTTTCAGGTTTGTAGATATGACACAGGATCAGTGCGATTTATACATGTTGGCAGACTCTTTCGACGTTAGGGAGACTCCTGCTCTGGATTTCATTTGCAAGTACCGCTACGAGGTATGTTTGCTTACACAAACAGTCGACCTTCCTCCGTGACTACCTACCATAGGGAAATTCAAAATCTTTGATAATCCATGTATGCCAGTGCCGCGAGAAATGTGGTTGTATTTTGCCGGGTTCGAAGCAGCAATCTCCTACTTAAGTGGGATGTGTGTCTAATCTCTCTCTCTCTCTCTCTTTACTTGGAAGAGCGGCCAAGAAAATGTACCACCGCACCATGCAAGCGCGGCGGTGTCTACAGTGTCGCCTGCGCTCGGAGCTTCATGACAGGGGCGGTACAAAAACGGATAATGGATCTTGTATTTGTCGTCCTACTGAGCCTCTAATGGTATAAGGACGCGCAGGTCCTGACGCCTAGAGTCCAAGTGTTGATAAGGCAAAGTATCGTATAAATCAAAAGTACTACGTTGCAACGTGGTGGTTAAATCGTGATTTCTTATTCTCTCTCTGTTCAGCCCGCAACAGTGAGATACCCTCATTTGCACGGGCTAATTCTATCTAACCTAACTAGCCTTAGCCAACATCACGTGAGGCTTGATGTTGGATGAAGCTCACAACACCAAGGATATATATAGTAGCAGTAGAATGTTACGGGAAAAGAGGGTCACTGAATGCAAAGCTAGGAAGAGTGGATTAATTATCTGCTTATGCAAAATAGATACTAATCCCAGATGATCAAAAGTAGGAGAAATAAGTAGAAAGTTGTTGGGAATTCACACGCCATTTGGAGTTTCCCCAGGATTGGAACAACAAAGATTCTCAAATCCGACTCCCGGCCGGAATCAATAACAATCACTTCATTGAGCATGTTTGATGTGTGAGACTCGACTGAGGCATGGAGTGATGTGATGCGCGTTGGTTAGAATTTAATTCACCAACCCTATCCTCATTTGAATTGTCAGAGTATGGAACTAGGCTCGGGGTCGATACTTGGTTTGGTTTTGTATTACTGAGATATATGTTAATAAGCTGTCTAGGGATTCCTAAGATAGATAATCAATGCAATCCATTTTTATTTCTCCACAGTATATAACATATTCTCCCGATTCATATCATTATTATTCTATCCATAAATCGCGCCCATATTTTTTGAGCCGCCTCACTCATCGAACCCATACCGATTTCCAACAAAAGTTTATCGAGTAGTTATATTAGAGGAAAAGGCTCTAAGCTACACTGTGTTCTCTCGCCGTGCAAGTAGAGCCACGCTGGTACGATTTTTAATTCGATTTCATTTAATCCGATTTGGCGCCCTATTAAGTTTTATTTTCGTCTATAGTCTTTCGTTACCCGTAGGAAGTGCAATTGGCCTTGAGTCTAAGACGGGATTAGCTAAGATTATATTGTACCTCGTCATCCTTCCCCTGCCCTCGCCTGCTGAAAAGAGATGACTGTGGTCTTGAACTTGACCTCGATGGTCCAAATAGTTTTTGTAGGGGATTGAGCAGGAGCTGTTTGCGCGGGCGTCCTGGCTCTTTCTTTAGTACCTCCGGCTTTTGGTGTGACACCAGTGTAAATCCTTGGTCGTCTGTTGCTTTTGCAGTTGTTGATGTAGGTGCCGCGGGTAATATTCTTCTTTCCTAACTTCTGCTGTACGTTCCATCGGATCATACCGTGCCTGCTGAACGCTGGCCTTGTATGCCGCGAAGTTATGACACGCCCCCTTCTGCCACAATTCATGGTCCTTGCCGCAGTTGCAGCAGAGTACCGACTTCCTCGGGCATTCCCTGGTCTGGTGAGTACCCGCGCACTCACCTCATTTCCTTGCCTTATTACAAGAGGCTTGGGTATGCCCCCATTGACAGCAGTTGAAGCACTGCTTGATTTGTGCTCAGGGTGACCAGAGGTGGGCCGCGTATAGCATTGAGTTGTAAACAATGCCATTTCTTATCACTTCGCGTTGAAGTGCCTCTGTGGGCAAACTCGCGACGATTGACCGTCGAATATGGTCGTTTCTTCCCATCCATCGATAATCATTTCCGTCGAAGAGCAATCTCACCCTGTATATTCTCAAATCAAGAATTCGGACTTTTGTTTCTGCCATTACTCGGTTTATGAATTCGCCATTGTTTGGGTTTTTTCCTCCTCGTATAAATTATTATGCTCAGCTATGTATTATGGTAGATCTAGTGGCTGGTGCACAGGTAGTTGTAATGTCGTTATGTAGATACTTTATCTCCTTCATGCGCCATTATAAGTAGTAATGTGTGCAGAATTAGAGACGGATTGTTGATACAGGACAAACGGCATGGCTGCTCAGTTGGGTGTACACTTAGGTGCGCTGAATACTGGTTACATGATCGGTCTGCAAGCGAACAAGCTAGGGGATAAGGGACGAGCTTCCCCCGATCTGTAACATAACAATTATCATAGTAACTTCTCTTAAGAAAGATACGTGGGACACGGGATTACGTTGTAAATGTTGACTAGTGAATCCTACTGCTACAGATGAAGTCTATGTATTGATAGTCAGGTCATGTGACCTGACTAGCTTAGTTTACATGAGTAGGTGAAGTAGTTCCCCTTGACAACTTCACTTCTGCACATTAACAAAGATATTACTCGGAGGGCAAGACTAAACACCTGTACGCGGTGTCCTCTACGAACCTGGGAGTGAAATATTCTCCCAGAGCCAAGGATCAGTCAAATTTCGCAATAACGAACAAGTTGGCCCACGAGGCAATGATTCAAACTACTCCACCACGTCAAATCTTCACTCCCAAAGAGTCCGATTCCTAACTAAGCCTCATCAAGTCTACAAGTACGACCTAGTACATCCTCATTCCAATGATCACGCCTCTCGCCGACTTTCCTTGGCCTCAGCCGGTCGCCAAATACACGCCCACGCCGATATTTATACCCGACGGAGGAAACAAAGCGTGGCGCACAAATCTGGAAGACTGTTCTTTGGGATGGACGTGAGAGAATTCAGGACAATTTCACAAGATGATGCAAAGGATGGATACAGTCTCGATGGGCGTGGAATTTTGAATTCTGGCATGGATTTTTTACAAATTGAGCTTTGTGCGTGCCAAGACTTGTGTCGCGAGAGTGCCGGCGACACTATAAATACCGCCATGGCTGGATGGTGCGGTGGTACATCGTCTTGGCCGGTCTGCCAAGTAAGTTCTGGATAGCTTGGACACTTATTCCACTTGAGACAGTAGATCGCTGGTTCAAATCCGGCAAAACACAACCACATTTCTCGCGGCGCTGGTTTGCATGGATGACGAAGGCATG